TATATACTTACAATATCTTTTTTTAAAGAAAATATGTAACGACCCGCTAGGTCGTTTTGAGAACTAGGACTAGTTTGACTCCTTTTGAAAATTTAAAGGGGTATTTTTAAACTATTAGATAACTATGAGTACCCAATTGATGAAACTTTTATTAAATAAATAATTAGATAATAGGTTAGTGGAGTTTCACGTTTAATAATTTCTTATTTAGAAGAAAAGGAAAACGAAAAGTGGGGAGGCGAAACCTTACCACAGGCGACCAGCGAGAGGGAGAAAAATCATAGCCATTGTTCAGGTAAAGATATGAGATATTCGTTCTTTTCAATTCTATATATAGTAATATATTGTCGGAGTGCTTGGGATTATGTTATTATTTTATGCTATGTTGATAATGGGTGATAAGAAATAATGGGTAAGTTGGTGATGATTACTAAATTATATTACATTGTTAGCAATTGGGTTAGTATTCAAAAATTTATATATATTCGTAGTTGCAGGATTTGAAGAAAAAAAAAGGGGGATCGTTAGTCTATAATTCTCTCGTAGTCATTATTATTAGTTTTTTTGGTATTACAATGGTGGGAGGGGAATGGAATCTCAAGCCAATCATTGGGCAATCATGCCAATGATTGACAATTAAGGGAATTCCTTGAAAAAAAAGAAGAGAAAAGGGATTTGGCACATTGCAGTAACGTTTAGGAAGGAAAAAAAAAGAGGAGGTCACGTTGGAGCAGGGGTTGTTGATTCTTATTTTATATATATATATATAAAATTAAGATATTAGTTTGATATATTGAGATAGGTAATTAATTATTAAGTGTATATTATATAATTTAACTTTGAATTCAAGGGTATTGGGAGATGTAAAGTTAAGTTTTTGGCTTAAAATTTAGCAAGTATGAAAAATTTGGCATATCAATATATATCAAGATTTGGAGTTTGGTTGAAAATATGAGTGAGTTTTAGCGCCTATGATAGACATATAATAATTTGAATGTCTACAAAAATTGCTTACTTACGAATATTGCAAAATTGGTAGATTGGGAACGTTCTGAAACATTGCGAAAAGGAAAGGAAAAATCTTAAAAGATTCATGGCACAAGTTCGGCATCTAAGGTATGTTAAGACTTTTTAGACTTGTTGAAGGACGTTTTCCTAATTAAAGATTAAAAAATGAAAATAGACAAAGGGGTAAGGGGGAAAGATGGTGGTCTCGTATCAATGGTGTGACGGGCATTGGTACGAGTACCGGTGTTATAAAAAGGAAAAGTACTATTATAGAATGTGGACTGAAATTTGAGAATGTCAAAGCATATGGGCATTAGCTGATATATTATTGACTTAAATTCCTTGTGTGATTGTGTTTTATTTATTTCACCCGTATACTTGTGATTATTGAGGTGGTTATGTATTATGTTCATATTGATTGATTGAGATGCATCATCATCCCCTATATTGAAATAATATTGTGCACGTGCATAGACATGAGATTGTGT